TGTAAAATAAATAATAATAACTCAAAAGATTTTTGTCAAGTGTTTATATCGTGTATCAAAAATAATTGTATTGTAAAATTTGTAACAGAAATAATTGTTTTCTAAAAAAAAAAACTTACATGGAATTCATAAGCAGTTTTATCGTTGAGATCGTATCCATCTAAACTGAATGGTCCCACTTTCACTTCTCCTCTGTTTCGGGCATGTCTGATGTTGGGTGTAGGTTGGTGTTGACTCAGTGCCTCGATCGTTTTCTCATGTTGTTTCCATTCTAACCAGCGTAAAGCCTTGTTGCTTTGTTGTCTCGGTTGAAATTTTTTCCAATCTTCACCAGGTTTGGGGGCCTCCATCAAAGCTCTGGGTATGATGACTATAGTGTCGGCCTTCATATAATGTGCTCGGAACACCTGGAAAGACAAATATTACATGTTTTTTAAAACTTTGTTTGAAATTGAAATCACCTGACCTTTTTTTCTACTTATTCATGTGTCATTGATTTCATTTGTCAAATATTTCATTATGTAAAAGATTTCATTATGTAAACAAACTTACCTTATTGCATGCACTGGCCAGCGTCAGACTATCTAAGAAGGGATCTATTCCTGTTTCCGACATAAAGATGGTTCTAAAGGCTCCACAACATTTTCTCAAGATATCCACATCACTCTGACAATAGGTCACCAATTCGTGTTGGAAATGGAAGGTTTTGGTTTGTTGTTCCTTGTACCAGGTATAAAACTTTTCTCTTTCTCCTACACTCATTCCATCTGGATCATAATCGGTAACTGGTGGGTAATCTCCAACATATTGTGCGTTCTCGGGTTTGTTGAAAAAGTGAGGGAAGTATCCTTTCTTCAATTCGGTGATACCAAATGTCTTTGGTAAATCTCGAAGTGGCATAGCTAAAAAGTTTAAGGAGTCGACAAATTTGACACATCCCAGTTGAATGGTCATGACTTTTCCACCATTCAATATGACTTTGGGTACGTCCATGGCGTGTTTGTGCAATCCTTGCAAAATG